ACAAAGTGAGTGTTAGGCTTGCAACCCACTCGCGAGGTCCCGGGTTCGATTCCCAGTTGGATGGATGAATTCACACCACAGATGAAAATCAGCGAAGTCAAACGGACTGTTCAGTTCATCTTAGCTATTAAATTCACACTCCATTTGCTCCGTGCGCGCTGAAATTCACTGCGATACTGAAAGACAAAATTCTTAGATCATCCTGGTCTCAAAATAAACAGCTCTTTCTGTCTTCTACACCGCCACCTCTTTATCAACCTCAGTCTGGTCCTCCGAAAGTCGAAGAAAATTGAGATCTATAAAGCTTCTGGTCTGGATGAAAGAACACCCATTTTGCTCAATGCATTTGTGGGCAAACTTTCAGTTCCATCAACTTTCATCTCAAATGATCAGCTGATAAGCAGGAAGAATCTGACATTAGTATACCGATCAAGATAACTCCCGTCCCCAAAAGGATCCCAACACCAACCTATCACATGTACGTCAGTCATGCTAAAATTACCTGAGATAACCTTGCTACCTTGGGTTGTAACCGAATCTACCGAGGACGGTATACATCAGTTTGCATATCGCTATGCGGGTTCCACAATTGATGCTGTTGCTTATTTCGTTGAATCAGTAATTCCTAGTCCATACATAAAATATGAGACCGTCTAAATGATGTTCGGCAATCCTGGCCCCTCAGTATTGCTCCATCTGACTGCCAAAATGGTGTTGATGCGAATATTTGCAGCTTGATACACGGTTATATCATAAATGATAAGGATTTTTCCTGCTTCAATGGCAATAAGTTTCCTTCTACCACGGTTGCTGCCGCTGTTCTGCAATGTGCCATTTTCCCCCGTTTTTATTTGCACTCAGCGTCAAGTAACTTCTTATTGATTGATTTGAACTGAATATCATTCGGACTTCACCTTCACGCACAATCCTCAACTCATCGACTCAACCATACACTCAGAAGCACTGGACGCGAGTTTCTCTCTTCATCATCATCATCATCATCAGTAGTGCATATCGCCGTCCCGTCCAGGATTTGAACTCAGGACCCATTTCATAGAAGACATATACGTTATCAGCTCAACCAGCTCATACCATAGCTGATCCAAATTGACAATTCAGGTTTGTTCTTATTTGCTCAACATTGATTGGTTGAGATGATGTTGCTCCAGGATGCGGTGCACCCATCTCTGGATAGACATCAAAACTTCAAAGCACGCTACATGAAGTTGTGAATTAGTGCCTATCCCGTTACCCTTTGTTTCCTTTTCACTTTAATTGAGTAAATATGTTACGATCATACTTTCAGGAACGGGTGAGTATTTATTCAGTGGGCCGCCATACAACACAGAAAATTAGGGACTGGGGTTGTCGCGATGGGATTCGAGCACGGGTTCCCTAGAGAGATAATTTAGTTTCGTTTAACGATTGATCACGCAGATTGACCGCACTGAATATCTCTTAAAATGCCGAAATGTTACGCTTTCCGTGTTACCGGGCAAACCATAGACAACCTTGGTAAATATATTCCTTTCACTCTCTGTTATTTGTGAACCCATATCAATATCAATACGGATAAAATATTCCATTTCATCTGTTCTCCAGGCTTGACAATTTGCGCACAAACGTTTCATCACGAGCCGAGGTGAGATCGCCAGTGTTTGTGAATTGGCACTGCTACTGCTCGGCGAACAGGCAAAACGGAATACTGATACAATATCTTGGCAGGATACTAGCAAACAGCCTCTACTAGTCTGGTTATGTTCGAAAGAAACAGATAGTAAAGTTATAAATATATCATAAGTCTTTATCCAATTGAGAATACAGGTCTAATCGCTCACTGGCTATACAGTGACTCATAAATTTTCCTCGGTTTGCTGATAAAAGATTTTCATTTTTTGACGAGATCATAAATGAAAATTTCGAAATGCATTGCCAAACCTGTATACTGCATCATTGACGGATATCTATGTGCATACGAAACCTTTCATTCTAAAATACTGTCAGACATTCAGCACGCATCCCCTAAAATCAACGTTTTTGTCAAATCCGTATCTGCATCAACCACGCGCTTAAGATTCATATGTTGACGAGGTGAATGTCATCTCGCACAAAGCAAACAGAATATGAGCTAAGATCTAAAAAGCACTGAACAGCCGTCTGAGCTCATCATCAGTGCACATCCATTGACACAACTGGGGATCGAACTCGGGACTTCACAGGTACAGCGCAACTATATTGTCCATCGAACCTTCCCATACCTGGACGTCGTCACAGTAATTTTGCCATTTCCCGCACGTTTGATTGTTTCCACAGCTGTTCGTTTTACTGAAAAAAGTGATAAAGGATAAATTTTTATTTCACATTTTTTCATAGTTTTGAAAGCTCGGATTCCTTAACCATGAAGTAGGAAGCTGAATATTTTCCCACTCAGCTGCATACAACCACTAGTGAGTTTGCTAAAACATTTGGGTAGTTGATGCTTGTACAATCAAAAGTAGCTCGATATTCCTTTGTTGGTCGATAACCTAGAGGGTATTCCTGGAATTAGTATTCCGAGTTCCTCTGCATTTAGGGGCTGGATGACTAAAGTGAACGGCAACGTTCTATATATTGCTGCTACACAGTTTCTTTGATAAAGTTTTTGCGATTCTCCAGACAGTCTTTACTGCGTCCACCGAACGTTCTTTCGATCTTAAGTAGTGATACAAATTGAGATAACACAATTACTTAGCGTGTTTGCAGAGTTGGTTTTTCGTTCGACTGAGTATTTCACTCAGCCGATACCCGGCATCTAAATTTATAAATCCGCCCTTGAAAGCGATTGTCCCTGAGATTTGTTTTGTGCACGCAGTAGACAGTTTTGAACCTTCTCTTGTAACAAATCTCGTGGTATAGCTGTCCTCGCTCAGAGCCAATTCGATGCTGTCAAATTCATTTTCTAATGAATGAGTGAAGTCCAAGGTGGATGGAACTTTCCAGGATAACCCAAATCGATCGCGCATAAAGTAACTCAAACTTCAGTCACCGGCCTCGAATTCTAGCTTCGCAAAAAGAATTCACTATATTACGCACTTTGAACAAACAATGTTTTTCTGATTTCAAGTAATACCTGAATTGCACTGGAAATTTTCATTTTTCAATAGGATATTTAGTTTAGTTGAATACATGTTTTTAAACTTTACAATTTTACTTTCGATTCAATGGTACAGTGTGATCTGATCGGATCCGTTTCCGCGATTTGTGCAACTTGAAATCCTTCAACCTGACACGAGATTGTCTGATTACCGGATCGTATTGTTCGTGATAGTACTACTGTCACCCAGTTCGACATGATCGATCACATGATCGACCGCGTTCATTCATCGATCGGTCGGTTCAGTTGCAACAAGGGATGTGAGGCTAGTACGAGCCGCACGCCTCGCGTCTTCAGGATGCCCAATGAACTTCGACTGTGCACAGCAGGAGTGCCAGGATCACATGACCGGATTGGAGATAGCAAAAAAGAGTATCACCAACACCACGAGTCAGTGATCAGACAGTCTGGTATCGGCTTGAGGGATTCCAAGTTGCGCAAATCGTGGAAACTGATCCAATCAGATCGTAGTGAGCATCATAGGGAAGTCAATTATTTTAGGTCACTGATGCCAGGGACAGGACAATGTGGAACGAAGAAGTACTCACACATATCAGTCGATTTCTGGCATTCTGAGACATGATTTCCAAAAGCATCTGTAACTTTCATTTCGTGAAGATTCAATCACTTTTCCGACGGAACAAAAGTTGACCTTCATAGAAGAAGTAAAACTGAAAACATATATGATTACTGTGCCGTACGTTTCATCTCGTTTTGGTGACGAATTGTTTTTATTTTCTCGACAGATTGAATCATTTCACATTTGTTGAACATTGGCAAAAAATTTGCAAAAACGTTTGACCCCATGCTATTGCTCAATACATAAACCGCATGAGGACAAATCTTTCTGAACACACTGTGAACCTGATTCGTTTCGGATGTAATCACTTTTTGACGTGACTTTCAGACTTCACCTAAGCGCTGACCGACCAGATGAACTTGGTCGGTCAGACAAGACGTTTAGTCTGTCCATACGGTCAGGCGATCAACGAACGCTTGTACCGGTATACACACTCACATAAACTGGGCACCGGCATCTTGTCGTCTAGTCTGCAAAATGCGAGGTAGTCGATAGCCTTCGGATCAATCAGTCCCAGTTACCCCGACCGAGACGAGACTGTTCAGTGCTTCTCTTCTAGCCTGGATGGCCACGATGGTGCATCCACTTTTCACCTGCAGATATAGAAACGCGTATACAAACAAGATTTCTATCCTTCTCACACACACAAACTAATGTGCAAGCACGCACACGGGTGAACACACAAACACCCACACCGTCTGGGTTCAAGTTTGACAACAGACAAATGTGACGGTGGTAGTGGTGCTAGTGGTGGTGGTGGCGTCATAGTTATGGACAAATCCTAGACAGTGGTGGAAATGGTGCTACGATTTTCATCCGATCCTAATGCACCATGACCACATCTACCCCTGATGCTTTTGGGGTGATTCGCCCCGGGGGAAACATGGCTTGCACACACCCTCGAGTTGACCAATCAGAAAGAAGCCGCCGAGCATCGACCAACCCAACGGTGCTTGCTTGTCTGTCTATCTATCTGTCTGATAGACAGTGGACACGCCCCCGCTGAGGGAAGCACAACCAGCCAACATGAACGGATTGTGCAACCAAAAAGATAGGGACCTATATAAAACAACAAAAAATCTCTCTCTTCTGTTGACATCTAGAGACGCTTGTTGTTATTGTTGTTGTTGCTGTTGTTAGTGTTATTGCCGATTGGTTTCTGTGCGCCTGCATTCTATATTTTTGCTGTAATTCGCTCCGTTCCAAATCGCATTTCTCCGCTCTGTTTGGTGCTTGTAACACTCTCCTACACATTCAAACTCGAATCATTATCATCACTTTGACGAAATGGCTTCCGGCGCTGTTGGCGGTCCCATTTGGGTTCGAAAAATGCGCACCCTGTTTCGTCGTCTGGACGTGCACGGAAATGGTTTTCTGATGGTGGACGATTTGCTTGCAGTGGCTAGCGGAATATTCAGCGTCTATCCGAAAATGGAAGCGTACAAAAATGATCTGGTTGTAAAAACCTTGGTCTATCTGTGGTACAATGTCATATGCTCGCACCTCAAACGACAAGAGGCCACCATGGCGACTGTGAATGAGGCCAAATTTGTAGAGAACATGCAGAAAGCTTTGCAACAAGGTCCATTCATAGATCAATTCTACGAGTTGTTCACCGATCCCCTGTTCGAGGCCATGGATCAAGACGCGGACAAGAAAATCACCGGACCCGAATTTCACACGCTCATGGTCAGTTTTGCCTCCGTCGATCGTGATGTGGACACAATATTCAAATTACGCTGTGACGGAAACAAATGGGCACTGGACGCGTTTCGACAAACCTTCATGGAGTTTTTCACCAGTGATGAGGCCAAGAGTAAAATCAATCGGTTATGGGGTCCGCTGCTCGAGTACAAACGGGCCGAGGATTACGGAACCATCGATTGCGGTCCGGTATGGGAGGGCAAAATGCGAACCATGTTTCGTCGATTCGATGTGGGTGAAAGCATGAAGCTTCGATGTCATGATCTACTCAATATCGGCCAATTCCTGATCCAACGAAATCATATGGATCGAAAAAAGGCGGATAATGTTTTACGAAACATGTTGCATGTCTGGGTCAAATATCTGGCCGTGGATAAGAGTGGTAAGTGTGACGCATTTTCCGCTCGTGGTGCTATGGCTAATGGATGGCGCGACTGTCCCCAGAACGGGGATGCATCAGGTTCCTCCGGGCAGCTCCAGTTTATCCCCTTTTTGTTCTTATCAAGCAGAAATTACACTTATACTGTATATATTAAAATGATATATTATTCCTTTTTTTAAACAGTTCACTTCCAATAACGATATACTTTCACGTCTGAGATCCCATTTCGTGCCCAGTAAAATGCCCGAAGAAAAATGGCTTTGCACGAAAAACATCCATGGTGATACGAGAAGAGCGAAAAATCCAATAGCTTTCTTTTAATTGTATCAGAGCATTGCATATGCACTAGTTATCGTACATCTGAACCAGTGGGATTCATCACAATCCCGTACACTGCTGATCGACAGCATGACCGTAAGAATCTCTACGTAAATAAAAGTTTAGAAATTCATCTACATAAGTGTGTCCAACAGTATGCAGTTCACATCAGTTTTTTCAAGATGGAAAATCTTGGTGATCAGAGAGAGATCGAATGCGTTGTATCTCTCCCTTCTCCTCATCCAAAGATATTTGTGATAAAATTCGGGTCGGAAGTGGTTTGTCGAATCAGTTGTATATGACCTCCAAGATGAAACCATCAGAAAACAATTTGATGGAGCTATTTTGTATGAAGGAATTTAACTTGTTTTCGGTAACCAATGTAATGAAAAAATCTTTTCACTATAACTAACTGATGATCAAAACCGATGTGAATTCACGCATCACGATACACGAAACTTGGTGTGCCTTTGGTTCAGATGGGATATCAGAATTATCTCATTGCGATCTGCGATCTGCCCAATGATTTCAATGTGTGTATGTTTGTGTGTCTAAGGGGTGGATGGGTAAATAAGAGGGGAGAGAGACTGAGCAATACTAGCAAAATTATACGAGAATCTTTTGTCAAGCCACGCCCTACCCCCAGCTACAGTCTTAGAGTGCACTTAATCGATACCTCACTATACGACATGATTCTTTCTGTACATTGGTCTTCTCTCAGTTCATAACCAATGGACAAAAATCCTATCGGTGAAAATACCATAAATTGCTGAAACCGGGCACAATTGGAGTTGATTACAGAGAGCAACAATTCATAATGTCATATGCCGTCATCGATCTGTCTAACAGATATCCAGTGCTAACTGTAGTAGTCTACTTGTAGTCTACTTTCTCGCGAGATAAAACCATTTTACATGTCAAACCAACTCATTACATTAGGACGTATTTTTTAATACTTTTTCATTCAAAATTGATAAATTTGTTTGACCTGACATTTTAATTCAAGATTTGATTGGTTTGTTCTAACCAGCCGGCCAGAAATGCTTTGAGAGCACTATATGATAATGATTTTGAAAGAAACGGCGAACTCATCCGTCGTCCCCGAAACCAACTTCATCTAAATAACTCTCGTAACTTCCGTTTCGCCGTATAATTTATGCTTGTTCATTCGCGTCTACTCATGAGTAAGAAGGCGTTCAATGTAATTTTCCGACAGACATGATTCAGGCATATGAAAATATCAACAACGATTTCAGAGGGTTGGATGAGACCGAGGATCGCTTCTTTGTGTGAACGTTCCTTATCCTCACTTCCCTATCTATTAACAACAAAATTTCCCCAGGTACCAGAGACAGTTTACTTGCATCATTTTTGTGTTAGAACGCTTGCCTCAGTTTTAAAAGTGGATGTTAACTACGAGGTAATGGAGACCGGAATGACGAATGGGCACTTGAGTGCTGATGCACACCTGGAGATAAAGGAGTAAGATTTGAATACTGTTTATTCGTTCATCAGCTTATGACTTCGCACGTAAATTTGTCGACGATCTATTTCAGAAGATGTACGTTTTAAATGCAGTCGCGTTAAACGCGACACACGCTCAATTCATCACTCCGCTAATTTCGCAGATGTCTGTATTTTCCCACCCAAATTGAGAGCGCAGAGAGTTCAAAGCACAAAACGGGAAATACACACGCACACACACAAAGGAGAAACCAATTCCGGGGATATAGCGACATGCTTTGTGAGTAGAGCCTAAAACAATTCAGTGGTGCGCGACAGGATGTCCCTCGATTCCTGTCTCCCCGCTGGAGATGATACGAAGCGAAGTTGGAGGAACGGCGGTAGAGTGGTTAGGTGATAAAGACACGGGGTGGAACACTACAAGATAGATCCTCCGTTGTTCCGGGTTAAGGACTAACCTGCTAGGCAAAACCAATAAAATATCATGAAACAAATAGGTCCAGTGAAATACAAGCACTCATGATAAAATATTACTTGCGCGGTTGCCGAGCGCTACAGATTTTAGACTGAAAGCAACCCCTGAACACATAAGAGAAAACATGAATATGAACAAAAGGAATGCAGTACTGTAATTGTGATGCACCAAAATATTTCGAGAAGTGACTCTGTACGAGACTGCTTATTTGGAAATCGGTTTAGAATTCTGTCCGTGAGTTGTGCAGGATAAAATTTCACTATCTGGTGAAAATCAGTGCGGCATATTTGATTACTTACAAACTAATCCCATTTTGTGAAGATCTTTACGAAAGATTTGATTTGTAAATTATGTTAAAACTTCTCTCGTGTCTAATTCGATCGTCCATTATTTATTATAACTGCATTCAAAAGGCCATCTCCCAATCGGGCCGAGTGAGGGGAAGTCATTTCTGAACAATATGTAAATAATGACCGCTTAGAGTAGTTGGAGGCTGGACTACAGTTCAGACACTAAGATCAAAGCAACAAAAATGCAAACGTCACAAATCCCTTCGGTTTACTAGTCCGTTTCTTTTATTCAATTGTGAAATGGTTTCGTAATGGTGAAACAAGCTGTCTCGGTTGGAACGGGCGTGTGTGTATGTGTGTGTGTGTGCGTGTAACTCACATCTGCAAACCCACGCTTAAATGTCATTCAATTCGAGTGGTTTTCAACCACTGTCTACTGGGAATCACTCGAACGACCCGATTCCGTGTGTTTATTACGATGTATTAGGATCTAATGTTATAACCTCTCCACGAATCACCGAATTCGGACCGGGCGAATCGTTTCGTTGCGGAGGAGCGAACCACAGTATTTATCACTTTGTTTATGATCATTGTATGTGATTCGAGTTTTTTTTCTTACACTACTGATCAATTCAAGTCAATGATTCTTCATTGGTGGAAAAATGGATTAGCTTTCTCCAACTTGGTAACGTTTTGAATTCTGCCATGAGATGCTTTCTCGTCGGAATAGTGCAACATGGGGAGCGAGCAAACGTTCTTGTAACGTGTGTATATACCATAGTCGTGGTTGGAGTCCTAAACGAGAAGAATAGGAGAAGAGTGATCGATAGTTGTCTGAATTTCGGCGTGGCATCAAAATGGACAGGGAAGGAACAGCGTTGATCACAACTTAACAGAAGTGCATAAGCATTATGAACTGAGATTGTCCACACAGATAAACTGCAGAAGAATTGGTGCGATGCACTAAGAGCACCGAGAAATTCATACGGGGAAGTTTACCCATGCCTCATTCCACGTATGGAATAATTCGGCAGTTTCAGGAGGAACTGCTGTGAGATTTGTTAACTTAGATGTTAAAAACGAGTGACTAAAACCGCCGAGAAACATCTCAGTTAAAATTCCAGCGAATTTGTAACTACAAAGCTCACTCCCTATACATCATTTTTCACGCTTGAACAAAGCTTCAGTCTGAAACGTTTCAGTTCTCGGTATGGGATTCATAGTGTTGATTCACGAAACGCGGGAGCAGTTCATCCACAGGCTGGAAAACAAACCCTGAATGAAGACGAGGTGGACTGCAAGAGGTCGATTTACGTCACCTTAATTGATGAGCGTTTCTAAAGCTATAAGTTCTGATTGTGTGTCATTCGCTATCGCAGTTCGCAAGGTATGTAAAGCAATGATCGATATTAGAGAGAAATTGCCAGCTTTGTAGGGGAATCTTCAAATAAAAGAAGCCAAAATACTGGGGTAGTCAAAGTCAAAGTTTTATTATGAGAATAACTTACAAGCTGGTGGTTCTCTTGTCCCGTAGGATATTTACCCAAATGAAACGTTACACATCAAAAAAGGAGTCGCCTAGAGATCCGGGTAGGAGATAGAGAACGTAGGCTACAGTGAATTTCCGTTTCCCTTTAGTATACGAATGTGAGGTGTGCCAAGGTTTCGTCGAGTCTCTGCTTGAAACATTCAATAGCGGGTGCACAAACAACATGAGATGGAAGGGCGTTCCAAGATTTGCATACTCTGACTGCAAAAAAATGGCGCCGGCAATCCAGTCGAGACTTTGGAATCACTAGTTTGAAACGATGTCCCCGTAGGTGTACATTGTTCGATAACATGAGAAGCGATCGACACGGATGGTTTGGGTTCTTCAGATTTGATACCAAAAATCAAGTCTCCTCGAGTTCGGCGATACTGAGCGGAATATAGTCCCAATGATCGCAACTAAATCAAGTCTCCCCGAGTTCGGCGGTACTGATCAGAATACAGTCCCAATGATCGCAACCTGTCCTCGTATGTCAGGTAATGGAATCCCTTGACCATCTTGGTGGTCATCCTTTGTGGACGCTCAAGCATCTTGCGATCACGTTGAAGCCAAGCTTGGATGGCGTAATGGTGGGGCGTTTCGTAGCATGGTAAAAAAAATAAGGCACATTGTCATCAGCCTGATTAGACGTAGTTCATTCCAATCCTCCCGATGAGAAAGAGAATGAGAAAAATAAAAACGCATTGTGCACGGATCACACTTTTTCATCACAAAATTACAAGGCACCAACCAACCGGTTGTCTGAGCCTGTGAACAGTTGGAATGAGATTTGTGCAAATGCTCCCGGAATTCCTGACCTCTGATCAGCATGCCCGCCATACAAGGAACAAAGTTTAGCTTGGCAATGTATTCATTTCATAGATAAATGCATGTGCAGCACCATCGCGTTGCATGCAAAGTTCAAACCCGATCGGAAATGGGTAAATCAGACAGTCGAGGGCAAGTATGTGACAAAATTTAAGCCCCACCCCTACCCCGGTGAACTGGTCCAAATTTAGAGTATGACGTTGGAACATTTATTCATCAGCTAAAATATATACATTTCGGAAATCTGGGGTCGGAACTTTGTCCTTGTTAGCGGACGGCTCTTCGAACTTAAGAACCGTGGTCATGCGAGGAAGCGCAAATTCGCACTCTGTGATGCACCCTGTGGCACATTTACACCTACCATCTGTTGGTGAATATCCTCTTTTGGTATGGCATGCGATCCAATGCTTTTGATGTCCGGATGGACCGGGACAGCACCATCACTCATGATTGACCTCGCAGTCGGACGCCGGACTCCCATGCGTCCCATCAGCTCACTCACAACGGATTCGAACTTGTCTTGGGACCATAGATTGAACCAAAGTCAGAACGGACCAATTATTGTTGTCAGGGTGCGCTTGACCATTTGATTAGCACTTGATGATCTCGCTTTCAAACAACCGGTTCACACTTTCTGAATCCTTTTGATTTGCTGGCACTTTTTTACCATCAGTATCATGACAAGTGGAGTATCGTTATTATGCTAGTTATGTATTGAGCTGAAGGTCAAATTTATCAAACGACGGGCTGTGCTCGCGGAACCCACACTTTACAGAACTTTTGGATTCGATATAGCATTACAGCTTGATTCAACTGCATGACCCAATTGTAATGATATTGTTCCTAATAAACGTTATTTCATTATTCAGACTGTTTTAATTGGTCCGACATTTCCATTTCATACTGGACTATGAAGTGGGTCAATTATTATGAGCATACAATTAATACACACAACTTTATGATAACTTTGTATGTGACCTCTGAGTTTTACCTCGTAGTCAGTTTGAGCTATTTTGCTCTCAGTCTGAAGGATACTCTGGGGCACTTTATAAAACCGAGGAGTCTGTTTCACTCATCCGCAAACTAGAACAGCTCAATATGTCAAGAGGACATAGAAGAGAATAACTTTCCAATCGCGCCTATCGGTATTCGTAGGTAATGTTACTTTTGTACTCCTTTTGGTAGACATGTGGGTCGACGGAGTCGATCTGTACACCTAATTCCATCGTCAATTGCTAATGGCTTTCTCAGCTTGGTTGTACTTTACAGACCCGTTGCTCATCGAATCAGTTTAATCAGGTTCATTTGTTTACCTATCTTATAGATCCTACCCTTGCCTCTTTCTCCTGTTCCCCCCTCCGTTTGCACCGCACTCAGGTGAACGTCTGGACGAGATTCGCGAGATCGAATTCATTCACAATCTGCGTGACATGATCAACGGTGACTATCGTCACGAGATCGACCAATTCGGTTGGACCTTCTTCAAGGCACTCGAAGTAGACAATAGTGGTTATATCACGCAGGCAGCATATCGGAACCTGCAAGAAGCGTGGCATGTGGGTCGCGATGAGGCCGAGGGCATGTTCAAGGTGAGTCTGATCAAATGGACCTCGCTCTGTTGTAGTAGTAGTTACAGTATTTCTATCTTCTAATGATAGTATTAATAATAATAATAATAATAATAATAATAATCTCAAGCATAATGAATTTTTTGAGGTGAACATGCGTGCCATCTTGCGACTTCAATTTGCGAAATACTGCGAACTGCAACGACCGGTCCGTTACGACACACTATGTTCAAATACCTATCTACGTGTTTGCACATCAGCCCTGTGTTTTGATAACCCCGTTCACACTTGTACGTGTATTTTCCATAACCTGCATTCTCATTTTTTCCGCATGCAAATTTTTAGTTTGTGTGTGTATTCGTGTGTATTTGTCAACACGTGTTAGTATTTACTTGTTCGTCTGTCTGTTTTCTTAACAAATTGCTGCGATGTTGATCCAACTACTTAATTGTCTACTGAATTGATCACACTCGTGCAACATACTGATTTTCATCACATTTGTTCCTCACAACGCTTCGTTTTTCCAGCTCCACTCATGAGATTGAATATGCTATTGCCCCACATCACACGCAACATATCTGATATAATACCCACTTATATTTTCGCTTCTATTAGCCACATACCATTAAAATGTACGATTTCGCGATTCCGACGATGGTCGCTTGAGCATCAGTTGTAAAATGACAAAGTCGTAATAAAAAACGTAACTAGAATGTATCTATGAATATGATTCATAGACTTCATACATGTATTGTACCTTCATCTTATCCATGTTCCATTTGTCCTTCTTCATTTTTGAGTACTGCAGGCAGTCCCTTTAGCATGTAGTCCACCAAGTTGACTGCTAAAGAGAATTTGTCAGTTTCCTCAAATACGCCGCACATCCTTATCACTGACGACCAATGTCGAGGCAACTAACTTATCCCTGTTTATGATACAGAGAAAAGGTTTCGATCAAATTAAAACCCCAGCTGCCGCGCGGTAACTGAACGAATTTGACATTTAAATTGACCCGTCCAGAGACTGTATAAATGTTATTAGTTTACAGCCAAATAATTTATCAAATTATTTAAGTAAGAATATTTTCATCAATTTCCTTATTTACTGTGCACTGAATGAAAAGAAATAAGCAATTTAGAATACGTGTACTCAAATTAATAAACAATCTCATGGAACGAGAATCGTTTATGAAAAAGAATAAATTCTTATTCTGCTTTTCTCAAAATATTTTCTAAATCTCAGCTGTAAATTTCGAACTACTACAAATTTGATCGCAATACTCAAGGTCACACATATTCAAACGGTGATAGGACATAGATGTGAGAGATAAAATCAGAAATAAACACACTTTACCCGTAGCCATGAATATACAAGTATGACATTGGAGACCGAAATGTATTTCCAAAATGAAAGTGTCGTTGCATGAGTTTGATCGACACCTGCACATTAACTTCCGTCAGATTCGGTCCCACCAACACGTAGTGTTTCCAGCCACATTCATTAGGTTGAATATGCCAGCACCTTAGATCAGATGAGACATGTGTAATAATATCCACTTATTATTGAGCTTCTATTTATCAAATGCAATTGAAACGTACAATTTCTTGATTGTGACGACGGTTGCTAGTGCAGCAGTTTTAAAATAAGATTATCCAGTGAAAATTATAATTATAAATTAGTTGTAAAAAGAACTTGTGGGCATGACAGAAGTTTTTTACTTTCGTTTGGGCAATGTTCTATACGCCCTTCTTTATTTGAAATGATGTGAAATGATTTTAGCTCGGGATGCGGATGTTGGTGTTGATGAGTTCTCCGAGCCGGATGTGTTATTCACAGATGTTTCGTATTCCAACTAAGCAACATTATTAGTGCGACTTTGAGGAAGCACCAGTCCTCAGTAGGATCGGGGTTATATAGTTCTTTGTGAGGGTTTCGGTTGGTTTTTTGCGTTCCTTTAAACCTATTGGTCAAAGTAAGATGTGTTGTTGTGATTTGCTTGGCTTTTTTGTTGTCATTGTGACCATTCTTTTTTCATTGGTCGACTGGCTCTCTCAAGCCAATCACAAACCGGTTTAAAACCGGTTCCAAACCAGTTATAACTGATTTTGGACCGTTTCTAGCTGAGGCAGCTTCGGGTTACCAGTGTTTTCTTAGATAGTGATAAATAGATTCCAGTTCTACATGCTTATTTATACTGTTCATTATGGAGTGCCATACTTCAGTAAATTCCCCCTCTTTATTTGGGGACACTTGGGCCAGTCGTTTTGCACGAAGTTCACCCAATTGGCTGTTAAACAGTATTACCCGGTTTTTTTCTAATTCACACCGCACCCTGACCACTGATTGACTAGAATACGCACTCTCATTAAACACCAATCATTTACCATGAGGCATTGCATAAAATATTTTTCAATTTTGAACTGTCAATCTCGAGCTACTAGAAATGTTATCACAACCTTCAAGGTAGTCCAAATTCAAACGGTACTACAAAAGAAATAAGAACATTGCATTGGGAGATAAAGTTCGACCATAGATCTAGATATACACATCTGGTAATGGAAACTGAAATGTTTTTTTCCAACATGTGACTCACGCTGCACGAGTGTGAATAATACTTTTATTTATCTATCTAATTAATTCCCTATTACGTGATTGTTTATCCCCACCACGTTCTTCGTCACCGGACAGATTATTGACACCAATAAGGATGGCAAGATCAGCAGCGATGAATTCCTCACCGCGTGGAATGATTACTTTTTGAGTGAGGATCCACACAGTCCGTACCGCATGTTCTTCGGCCCGGTCATCTCTCGACAAACGGAAGCTAAGTAAAGCGAAATCCAAAGAGAGAGCGACAGATGTTGTTCCCGAGCCCGAGCGCTGTTTAACACCACCACAACCACCACCACCACTACCGTCATTACCACAGTTCCGATAGACCGATCAGCGATTGCTTGCATACACAATCGTTGTACACGTGTGTTTCACGGAACGAAAATAATCCCTGCATTGTTTCGTTGGCCTTATCTTGTCCGCTTTGTGACTGTCTTGCCTGAACCAATCGCTTGTACCACCGCCTCCACCNACCCGCCCGTCCAACCCTCCCTCCCCCCTCGCCTCCGTTCCGTTCTTCATGCTCAATGGAGCTTCATTCATCCATAGTTGTATGTGTTGACAATAACTACTGTTTAAATTTTGTCTCGCAATCTACTAATTTCGCCTGGTATGCAATTTTTCTTAATGCAATCTCTTTCTGTCTCGTCCGTATCTCTACACGCAAACAATCCTCGATCCCCGATCAAACAAACGCGTGAACGTTCAATACCCAGACGTACCTTTATATGTCCACCTAGCGAACTGAATGAACTAATCAAAATTGTTATGGGTATATTTCACACTAACGTCGTCTTGGCTGACCTCGCCTTGTTTTCGTTTTCATCACTTTGTTTGAGTAACTGAGATTACATTGCTGTTTTACGTTTGTTTGATCGAAACCATACTCGATTGATTCCCAGTTTACCCAATTCCCTCACCCGCCCCGCTACTTCTTCACTGTTGTTTTGGCTCCATTGTCGGGGTTCTCTCTGTTCTTTCCTCGTTTCCACTCAGTTACTTTTCGAACAAGGCCTTTCTCTCTCTCGCGCGCGCGCGCGCGCGCGTGCACGTTCGCGCCTCACTGTTTGCGCATTTTTCGACGCATATGCGATCGATCACACGCGCGCGCGCACGCGCACGCGCACGCATCTACACACGAGTGAAACAAGCACGCGTTTTGTCCGTTTCTGAGGCCACAGCAAATTAAGGCCGATAGCTCGTATATCCACACATACCTGTATTTCTTCGTGCTTCATCACATAGAAATAATGGACTACTACATTGTTAGTTTCTGATTTATTGATCACTGTCGACGGCTGGTTGATGGCTTTATTATTTATTTCTCATGTATTTCCAAAGAGCCAAATCACAAATTAAGCCCATTGTTTTAATCAGAACAATGATTTTAAGAAGACCATATTTGTTTCCAGTGTCTTCTTTCTCAAGTCATTGCAATCGAATACGTGTTAAAAATTTAGAGCAGACTGGTGTGGTGGGGTTAAACGGTCAATTAAGTGATATCTACGAAGTGAGTGAGGGGCAAATTACTATCTTCATTTAGATCTCATGTTCCAGGCACCAACGAATCATGCAACCGTTGGTAATATATTCAGGTCATCGTGATGCGGTCCACTTTCGGTTGGGGAACGGTTGATTGTTGGAACAAACGTTTCACTTATATACATTTCTGGCTTTAACAACAAGCGGATGGTGATTGCCTCGACTGTTATTAGTGTTTTTTATTCAACATGTAACATTAGGCACACCATACCTTTTAACTATTCACGACTGCGCCCGTTACAGACACAATGACCGTGAGTTGGATGGAACAATGCTCTTCCATGCCGATAGCAATATCTGCGTAATCATAAACCATCCAATGCGAAAAGAAAGCCGATTCGGCACAAAATGCAGTTCTCACTATCCACGATCATACCGGTGGCTCAATTCAAAGTGTTTTTTTTGTCGTTAGTGGGTCGTGTACATTGCACAGAATAGTTCGGACTAAGCCTCAAGGCCATGCATCAGTCTGGTGACCTTATAATTCGATTAGCCAATTATATGTGCGAAAGGCAGCACTGACGTCAGATCAACGGCTCATTTATCATGAGTCAGTGGGCCGGTGCGAATGCGTGCAGTGGTTGACATCACTAAAGTCTTGCAAACACACACCCCTCCCCCCCCCGGAGACTTTACCCATTGAAGGCAATTTTTCAGGATTTCCGATCATGTCGGTGTCAAAATTACTCCACTCCCTAATCGAAAATGCCCGTAATTCTTGTTTCATGGCGCGAAATCTGGAAAGTGATGTACTTTTCGGTTAAGAATAGCCCAAATGTCTTGTATTGAAATCAAATCTGACCTGATCGCAGATTACACCATTATTTTCGTGCGGCTAAATAATAGCCAGAATTTCGTTAGATACAAGTGATCAACTGTAGTGGCATCGTGCTGGAGAATGACTTCACACAGATCAATCAATACCATTACAAGTATAAGGTGCCACTTCAGTGTACGAATACACAAATCAGAATCTTGCACCCCACGCATTTTGGCGAGTTCGGTTGTTCCGTTGCTATAAAAGGCAACCCGTACAATTGCAAAATCTCATTCACTGATAAGCCCACTAACCTACCGCTCTTTCCCCAGATCAGACCGGTAGTAGTTGTTGTTCTAAGCGTTGAATCCATCCTATTGTAAATTTCTGTTCGACCACAAAGTGTACTAAGTTCCATTCGTTTTTACAAGTTAAATGATTTTCAGGTCGCAACAAAAGTCTTTTTTTCGGGTTGTGGTGATCCCGTCGGTAACGTCACCAAGTTATCACCGCGGTGGACGTGTGTTCGAATCCCATACCACACCAACTGACTTTCTCCATTATGTGTCGTGTAAGACAGCTTTTTGATCGGTTGCTTCTCGCTTTCTAAAACTCCGCAAATTCCACGAAAGGCATCGCTTCTGGACTTCTATCTTATCCGTAAATCTGTTCGATGGCACCGCGGTTGGTACTGAATTCTGGTAACCTATCAGGCTGATTTTATTTATTCAAGGTCGTTGGGAGTGACGTGAGCATGACCGTAGCCTACACCAGGCTGTCAACCACTGACTCACCATGGTTGCCGATTGCGGGGCCGATGGACAGACTCAAGATATCTATCGCATCGGTTTCGCAAACCCAGTTGAGTAGGTGAAGTGTATCGGAAGTGCAATGCTTGTGCTGTCGTGACAATTCTTTTGTTCGCATGGCGATTGTGAAAAGTTCAGTTGAATAATTTAAACGTGAAAAGATCAGTGCTATCGGTATGGTCTCGTAGCTCGACTGATAGAGCGTGCGTGTACAAAGCGTCCATGCGTGGGCTCGAATCCCACCTAGCCTACTAAACTCTTCACAATCGACATACAAAGTTCTCTTGTAGTCCACAGATTCTCAGAAATGGTGATGATGGTGCATGCGGCAGAGTGAAGAGGAGGGGAGTGGCTGCTGGATTACTTTTGTCGTGAGGTTTATGCATGAATTGACCTTGGTGTTCTCGATTGTGTGCGCGATAACCGATATTGGACCGTTACAGCGCGGTGGAGACCAATAAAATTGAGACAATGGGGTACTCACATGACCACTTGCACATTCTATAAATTCTCTGGTGCCTTCGGTGATTCCATATTGGTTAATTTTTTTCTCACAGAACAGATTTAATGAAATGCATTCACCTTCCAAGCAGCAGAAAGCTGCATAACTTTACTGGGTTCCCCGTGGGGTGCATCATATAGTAACACTACACCTGACTGCAATCTACACGCTGACTTGAAAACTGAGTGTGGCTAGTATTTCTGACGAGTCCCATTTAGTGGAACAAGCTTCGATAAGTAGAGTTACTCCGCCATTTATTTGCTTTTTATTCTACACTGCCTATGAACTATGTTGTTACACACTGCCTTTTGACGATAGAGGGGCTCACAGATATCATACTCCGAATCCCAAGCAGGAGACTACAAGGCCGGGATATTTCCGTTCCGTGTTGGGATAATTATTCGTGGAATATGGAATCAATTAAACAACGTACCTTAGTCAGGGAATGTAGTTAGACTGACAAGGAAAAAGTAAAGTTTCGAGGAGGTCTCTTGCGCGGGAATCGGAAGGAGAAATGCAATAAGTAAACATTAAAAGAGCAACAAAAAGCTACAAACAAATAATCAGGAACTTGCAAGCTTGTGAGCAACTCGCATAGCGACACTGAAAACAGGTTTTCTCCTAAGAAAGCGGTTGTACAGATTTGGCGGTTTTCAGCAGTTAGTAAACAGAGTGAATGATGACAAGGCGGTATATCTCGACGCGATCATGTCATGAGGTAAGTGATCCGGTTCAGGGGTGAGCACACAGTAGAAAGGATCGGCATAAACATGCGCAAAAT